CACCACGTAAACTGCTGCAGGCGATTCATGGCGCCGTATTATAAAGTTTAAGCCATTGGCCCTATGCCAATATACCGGCCATACTGTCACAGTTATCAACTATAAACTCGGAATTTATTTCCTTTCTTTCGGCGTCGTCAGGCATTAAGTCTGAAAATAAACACAAGAAACCATCTGTTTACTTTATTGCTCAGCGTTTTATTGACGTGTTGATATTATAAGCCGCAAGCTATATATAGTCGTCTAAATGGTCTAAATGTTATAAGTTGTTTTTAGTCATTTGTTAGAGTGAGTTCGATTTCATAGACTCGGTCTCTTCAGTTCACCATAAACTGAAGAGCTTTCGAATGAATACATTTGATCACATTTGAATGTTTTTAGCTTTTGTTTTCTGATAATAAAAGTTTGACTATAAAACTGATTTTCTTCATTGTTCCGCCGGTTTAGTTTAGCTCGTGTAAAGCATTCCAATCTTGTTGGTATACAGTGATGTTTCCGATCGCTAAATCACTTTTTATTTTTATAACATATTTTTGTTCTTATATCAAGTTGTGTCGTGTTGAATTTGCCGAGGAAAATGAGAACAATGCGACAGTTTTATTTCTAAAGAGTAAACAAAGTCCTACACTTTCTAGACAACATTGCTGCGTTGCTTAGCTGCAAAACAACAACTGGAATGAGCCGACCCCCTAGGCTTAGTTGCCACTTGTTGACCGTAATAATTAGTTGACCCGTGGTCCAGCAAACCATGCCAGGCCAAGCGCGAGTGAAACCTCCGAGTCCAAAATTGGCACTGAAAGAATGTAAAGAGAGTGTTGCTCTATAGAAACAGAAATTCCATTCAAAAAAAATGTTATCTTTTCAAGTTTTAATAGCTTGTATGGGTGGCGGTTTTTGTTGGCTACGAAAACGAGCGGCGAAGCCAGGAGAGGAATGGGACCTCCGCCCCTCGTTTTCGTGGCTTTGCCATCGCGCGCCAACATGAGCCGAGAGAGACGTGGAGGAGAACTGTTAAAAAGGAGAGGACACGGCTAGGATTTGGAACGTGGAGGGAGGCAGAAAACGGCGGCCAAAGACAGGGCAATGTGGAGAAGGAGGATCAACGGCCTATTCTCTACGAGGAGAGAAAGGACTACAATCGTATTGGAATAGAGAGTTATATGGCTTCACGAACAAAAGCAATACAGTTTCCCTCTCTCTCTCTCCCAGTCTTCGCGCGGCTCGCTTTCGCTCGCAGTTTTCTTTCCATCCCATCCCCACCGCGGAGCCTATTTCATAGGCTACACAGTAACATGCCGCAACACAAGCGGATGCAACCCTTATTTTGCGCGATGGTTATCCCGGCGTTTTTAATTGCTCCGGCACGTTTTACGTCAAAAGGCAAACGGCAGACGCCAGCTTGTCGTTGATTCAGTTTACTTCTTCCTCGAATTATTAAATAAATCCAACAGGAAAATGCAAAAATGCGAAACTATGTACTTTCGAGTCGAAATGGCAAACGGTAAAGGACAAACGCGAGATTTGTACCGTTCGCCAGTGTCGGCTTTCTCCGATTCAGTTTTGGCCTCATCACAACAGTGAAAACGTCGCAACCGGCTGGCAAGACTAGAGCTATTGTCCACGTAATTATAAGCCATTTCCATGCATTGAATCATATTCAAGACACGTTGTAAAAGCATGGCACACTATGTATTCAAAAACCGTGCCTTGGACTGACGTAACGAAGAATAACAACTGTTGCCATCTGGTTAAAGTTCTTTGTTCGACTAAATATAACTATGTTTGGTTTCCGTGGCAGCTGTTTCGAGTTTGAAACTTTCACGATTGTTTCCTTTATTCCGTATCATTATGGAATCAAGTGAAAGAAAGTTTTCAATTTATGTTCAAAATATTTTCCTGTTTCCGTATAATAAAATGTCAGTTTCGGCCAGCGCGCGTAAGAATTAACGAGTGATAAATTAAAAATGATTTTATTGTCAGATAATTACAATTTAGACCGCTAAAAAAGAGTCCTTTTATACCGCAGAGCAATCGTATTCTCCAAAATACGTCAGTCAACGCTTGGCATTTGCGTAGTTTAATAAAGACTACCTCACTAGTGGAGTGAAAAAGCAAAATTTATAGTTGCGATAGTTCTCGTACTAAATTAAGTCCTCGTAGTAAAAACGGCTGGTCATTTGAAATAAAACAATAATAGTTCTGTTCGCAAGAAATATAAAAGAAGACGGCTTTCATCTTTTGCCTCTGTTATATTTTTTGTTTTCTAAACTTTTATCCCCTATCATCTGTTTTTACCGTGTCTCTATACTCCCTCTGTCCGATCTAATAGAGGAATCATGCCGTCAAGCTATTCCTTCTTGTTTAGCCAACAAGCTGTTCTTTCAAATTTCCGAGTTACCTTCCTTGTTTCCACCAGCTCTGTTTGAAAACGAGTCACCGCTGGTTCAAAGCCTTTCAAAATGATGAAAATGAGTTTGAATTACAAGACATGAGCGTGCACCGTGAATGGCGGGTTGTGCCCAAGGACTCAGTTTTGAAACAGAGGAACAAGGCAATTTGGAAATGGCATATTCCAGCCTGTTCCGGGACGGCTAAAGATATAGGATTTTCCTGTAAATACGTTACATGTTACATTTGGACTTATCACCAAAGAACTAGCGAATGCGGTCCAGTTGCCCGCAAGAAATGACTGCTATACAAGTTGTATTACAGTTGTACCATGGCCCGAGGGACATGAAAGATGAAAACAATTTAAAAAGTAGATTTAACCCGAAATTGTTTCTTAGAAGGTCAGTTGTAATTTCCTTCTAGTCCGAATGGAAAATGATTGAAATTGACAGTTTTGCAACCCATTTCAGTCATGTTCATGCAGGAGCGACTAAGAGTATTGCAGTACTTGGTTCATCGCATGTTACCCCCAACATTTTGTCAGGTTGCCCTGACAATTCGCCACTGAGTACCCATTTATAATCTTGGGTGGAGAGAGGCACTGTGAGAGTTACATGTAAATGTCCTGCCCAAGAACACAACCCAGCGCACGTGAACCGAACCGCTCGGTCCTGCGCGCTAACCATTAATTAGCCACCGCGCCTGTTGGATTAACATGGATCAAACTATTAGACTGGTTTTCACTAGCGACGTAAGCAGAAACCGCAAGCATAAGAGCTCTGTGACAAGTGAAAACGGAGATTGACGCAAGCATAAGCATTAGCGCAAGCCGGAATTAGCGCAAGCACGTACGATTTACTAGTCCCAAGTCCTTCTGCGTAAAACGGGGTATCTCGGCGCAAAATAAAGACACCTTATTGGATGGTTTAACGTATAATACGCGCGGATATTTTGCGAGTTGTGCAAGCAATGAGTAAAATGTCCGCGCCTATTATATGTTAAACCATCGAATAAGGAATTTATTATTCCACTGCAAAATTTCACTACTATTTTGCTATTTTCTGTATTCGCTCTGTTCTAAACCGATCAAACCAGGATACTACAGTGTAATACGCTCTCATATTTGCGCATTCTCTTGACCAAAAATGGTGAAATGACATAATTAACTTATAAGGATATAAAGCGAAGGTCAGCCAAGCGGCTTGGTAATTCAGTTGCCAAAATAAATGTGCCGTGTCAATAAAAGAGACGTTAAGCCACTTTCTTTCGTATTTATTAATATCTATTCACTATTGTTGATTTGAAATGCCAAAACAATTTCGAAAGTTTCGAATTTTCCGGGAAAAAAATTACGAAAATTTCGCAATTTCCCCCGTTTGCCCGCGCTAAGGCGAGAGGGACCTAGAACGAGTGTTTTTAATTGGCCAAAGATATAAGACTGCCTTGTGCTTATGCTGTGTGGACGTTTTCACTGGAATAATGCGAACACAAGCATAAGCGCAAGCACAAGAAAAAGGAAAAGTTTTGATCCTTGTGCTTGTGCTTGCGTCGCTAGTGAAGACCAGGCTTTAAAACTCAATTTTTTTTGTACAAAACCCAAGTAGTAATAACATTGTAATGCTCTATTGGGATCTTTACATTGTTTTAAACCTCATCTGTCAATTAAATTGATCGGCATATGCGTACTACTAGGCCAGGTTAGAAACCCTGTAACTATATTACAGAGTATAAATTGCGCGAAATATAGATAACTCAGCGACCTAATGTCGCTTGATCATCTTATAACTCTCAAGTTATTATCCCTAATTGTTTGTTGCGTATCAGATAAATGGAGTGTGAGGAAACGGATGTAAACCTTTTGTCACAAATAGCCATCTCCTCGACCCATGTGCAAGCACCGAGCGAGCCTGGTAGAGAGTCTTTCTCCACGACTGGGAGGAAACGGCGGACATTTTATAGATAGTGAACCGGCTTATGTATTTTAATGCCTGAGAGCTATCGAGATATTTTCCATTTATTCCTGATATGCTCGAGAATCGGAAAGAAGCGGGATACATATATTGGGCTAATATTAGCCTAAGTGTATTGAAGAGAATGATTTCATCGTCACCGACTATTATTAACAACCGGCTGACCGGCACTGACTGGTTAACAGTTACCTTAGTGGCTTGTGTTTGGTAAAAATGTAATCAATTTGATATTTATATTTTTGTTTCGATTGTTATTAATAAAGCTTGGATAAAAGGTGTTTGATATAAATACATCTTTATCAATATTTCTTAGTATAATCGATCAACTTCACCTTCGATCAGCAATCTAGACGAGATATTTCCTATATATTTAGGAGTAAAATGCCAGGAATTTCAAGTGTTTACTCGAGTATTTCCGAGCTTTCTTTAACCCGATTTAAATATATCCCAGCGTTCTAATTTTAAAATATTGATTTTCCCCGAACTGACCTCAGCGATACTAACGGTCTCAACTGCTATAGGAATGTCAAATCGGCTTTCAAGGTCTCTGTCCGGCGTAAATGGGCCTATATGAACTGTGAATCACGCAAATATTTCAAGGATTTAGCACCAAATAGAACTCACAATTGACCAGCTCCCAGTGGCTTCATAGTCATAGCTCAGTGGTAGAGTGTTTTGCGCTGGAATCGCAAAGGTCATGGGTTCGAATCCCGTTGGAGCCTGAATTTGAGGTCTTATTTTCAACTGCTTAGCTAGGTTGAAATCTAGGTTAGGTTATTTCACTGCGAAGATCTTATTCTCTTTCGTTCTTTTCACCGCAGTTCACTATATAAATCAGTATTTCATATATTCATCATCACGGCCATAACAGTCATTTCCTTATCATTGATTATTTTGAGCCGCATGGCATGTATCGACATGTAACTCTAGCTTCTTCCTCCTTCAATGGTAGTTTTGATTTAGCGTACGTCACGTGCAAAACACTGATTGGTTCACCCGTGATACTGTATATGTTGCAACTCGAATTCTGATTGGCTATAAAAAGAAGTCAAAATCAGGATCATCCTGATGCACACTGGTTTGCAAGGTGTACAAATTTTCTCAGTTTGTTTTCCGACCTTAAAGGAGCTACGTCACGGACTGCATCTTGAAAAAACTGGCCAATTTTTTTCAAGTTTGCCATTCGCAATCCGTCTTAATCTTCTCCATCCTCAACCATCCTTGTCCCTGTTTGGTTTATTATCACCTCTTTGGTGTTTTTCTACCTTAGTGAACTATTTGAAGGTGATTTTGCACTTCGCAAAAATGACTTAAAATATCGTGTTGGATGCGAGCAGCGAAATTAGTTTTCGCTGGCTGCTCCGGCTTCGCCCCGGGCGTGGCCCACCATCGCGACCTCGCCGCTCAACGCTATTACTCGCAAAGACTAAAATCCCTCTAATACGAAGAGTAATCTTTGGAAAAACCGTGGATGAAATTGTTACAATTATCTGAACTGCGATCACGCCCTTTTCAATCGTTTTCTCACTGCTTGAGCCGGAAAAGATAGGATAATGCAGTTTTGCAGTCTTGAACCGGAAAACTTGATGACGGTGCAAGAGCAATTGGGTCAAAGGAAGAATGGGAAGCTAACAAAACTTGAAATTCCCCTTTAGATAACAAAAAACCTCCTTTTATATATTCCGGATTTGTTCCAAATTGAAGTGTATGTTGCTGCCAAAAAAAAAACAGTTTCCTGTGTGAATACAACGATCACATTTTTTCCCCCTCTCTATCCGTTCAGAGGCAATGTGTTCAAATAGCGTGTTAATTCACACAACAGTATTCCGTCTTCGTGGGATAGGAGATCGGTGCGCCGCACATTCTCGCCAATGTTTCTTTATCTTCTTTGAAAATAGAAATGAAATATCGGCCATGGAAGATTAGCGAAGAGGACGAGAATAACCTCAGGAATGCTTATATGAAATGAAATCTGTTTTAAACGAAAAATAAGCGGATTAATTTAAAGCCTCAGATCAGATTTTTCGCGGCGAGACGATTTTCTTGTGTGAAAATATCACGCAAAATTATTTTGCGTCTTAAATCAGTTTTGAAATGTCGGAAATGATTCGGAAATGAGATAAAACGCTGAATTGGTGCGGGCAGCTAGGTAAATTGAAGTGAATCAGTGTTTCGAGAGTCGAGTCGAAAAGTGCCGGCTGCATTTTTGATAGGATTTTTGCGAAGTTCATTTATAGGGTAAAGATATCATTATGTTTCTGATTGGCTTAGTGCAATATAATGGTGTAAATTAAATAAGATCATGGAATTGAATAAGTACAATTGTTCAGGTATCTTAGCTTTGATATATCTTGTAAAAAGAAGAGATTGGGCTTGAATCATTATGTAAAAGCCAACATTTTAAATATCTCCTGCATGTAGTGCATGCAACCTAAATCTGTGCTGATTTGATATAAGCCAAACAGATATTCAAATTTCTAATCCACTTAGGGAGAAAGTAGTGTGAAAAGAAAAGAATGTTGACGTCCTCACTATTTACCTGACAATTAACAGTGAAAAAGAAGTAATTATCGTTGACAAAAGATCTATCTTTCTCACTCGATCAATGGTGAGCTGACACGGAAACTATTGACAAGTCAGCTGCCTTTTTGCACTAACGACGAAAAAGGCGGGCCAAACTAATTATTTTGGGAAAGTTCCCCTCACCAAGAGTACTTATAATGTCAGCGAGTATGAATTAAAGCGGTAAGTAAACTGAGCTGAAACCAGCTGCAGCACTGAACACCGCAAATAAACAACGACACATGCACATCGGTTAGACTGAACTCCCTATCGCGTTACGCTGATCCAGGTTTATTCAACTGAGAACTACGAAGCAAATGTTCAAACCACTCGGCAGCAATGCTGCCTGTGTACAACGATTTACACATTTAGGACGCGCAAGCGACTCAGTTTTTCATTCTAGTTGCGGCCTTTCAAAGTTCCTTACTTTCTTTTTCATTATTCCGTGGGCGGAACAGACACGGTCTGCTGAAAAGAAAATTGAAACCAGACATGAATACGACTCTTGAGTATTTTGCTTTCATCCATAAAAAAAATAATTCCATTTCAAAAACAGATAGAATTACAAATTGACTGACTCTCTCTTACGCATGCGTTAACAGTTTCCGGTCCGATGTACACACCACGTGACAGAAATCCAGGAGGTCCGACAGTGTCCAAGGAAAACAAGAATTACGCCCTTCATCACTAGTGAAAATAGATTTTCCTGCATGTCAACAACTATTTTCTAGAGCGGCAGCGTTTCTGTCTGTGAACAATTTTGTACGAGACACGTAAAAAAAACAATGGTGGTCCTTGCCTTGACAACCTCGTTCCCAGGGCTTTCCCTTCTAAATTTGGCGGGGCGCCCTGGGAACGAGGTTGGGTCCTTGATACAGAATGGTTCCCCAGAACTGCCAGACACCGTCTTCTTCTCATGATGGAAATATTAGCGAACACGTTTGGTCAATAAAGAATTCAATGAACTCTTCGAGAGGTCAATGCGACCAGGCAGGCGTATCGTGAACAAACTCTTGCTCAGAAATCTCATCAGCTCTCGATACCTGGATTGCTTTCTTCGCAGACACGTCAGAAATGCGTATAAGCAAAGCCACGTGACTTGGCGCTCGTCCAATGAAAAAACGACTTCGTTTGGAGACAGCTGGCGACACTTGCGGGAACTCGCTGAGTGGAAATACCGCGCTAAGTCCAAGATTACTCCGCAGAAGAATGAAGGGTTATCCTTCGGCTGGTTACCTATAACAAAGATAAAAATATAAAGGAACTCAAACACTCAACTCCACTCTTTTCACTCAATAACTGGTATAGTTTCGAAATCACCGGTAGTGTCGTACGCTCCCAATTATTAAAAGGACACTGTCCCGGCGTATTTGCTCAAAACTGTTATAAATGCACAAAATGGTCCCTAAATCTGTGGAAAAAGAACTCTAACTAAATGATAAAAAGCAATTTTGCAAATTTTCAAAGATTTCCGAGCCAAACTGAAAACTTTGAAAACCTGACAGCCTGTCATTTTTTCAAAAATCCGTGTATTGCAATCCATTTCCATCCTCGCTGTCGTTAGTCATCCTCACTCCTTAATAGGTTCCTGTCATTTGTAGAGTATTATTCTAAGAATCAAACCACTATTGTTCAACTTCCTATGATCTAGATATGTTTCTGAGCTTCCCAAAATCATCAGTGCTCAAAATGAGGACAGTGTCCCTTTAAGCCTCTTTCTAAAAGTCAGTCTACAGTCTAACTGGCTTATCAGGCCGGCGTTTAACTCCGGTTCCTACATAGCATGAAGCGACTAGGAGTATCGCTACTACCCTGGATAGGATGCTAGTCCATCGCAGGTAATCCCCAGCATTTTTGTCAGGTTGCCTTGATAATTCGCCTGTACCTAACCTGCGTGGCAGGCGTATAAAGGGGAGGGAGGGGAGTTCGACGCGCGCGAAGCGCGAGGAGTCGGAGCGCGAAGCGCGATGGAGTGGGAGGGGGAACCGTAAGCCCTCCCGCCGATCGCGCTCTTTTCCTCGCGCTCTCGAGCGCTTCGCGCGCGCGCCGAACTCCCCTCCCTCCCCTTTATACGCCTGCCACGCAGGCTAGCCTGTACCCACTTTATAATACTCCTGGGTGGAGATAGGCACCAAGGGACCCTTTAAACAGGACATTTCACTAACAGAAGAACACAGATTATTAATTTGTAGAAGCATTCAATCACGTTAAACAAACGAAAGAACTGTCTCGTGTATGTTTTTGTTAGCTATGGTGCCGTTTCTATAAGTTGTTGTGGTTGTGGGTTGTAACTTGTTGTGCGTGTTTCTTTAGTAAGTGTGACTACTATAACCGGGACACTTATACAACGAAAACCAAACAACTTTGCAGAATGGAAACACAGAATTCCAACATTAGTTGTTCGAGCCAATCACTGTGTTGTGTTCTTGGGCAAGACACTATATTCTCACAGTGTCTCCCTCCAACCAGGGGTATAAGTGGGTACCGGCGAACTGTTCAGGCAATCAAACAAAATGCTGGGGTGGGAGTAGGTAACCTCAGGTAACCTAGTCTGAAGTGTCAGCCGCCTCCTCGCTCCAACCCCACCGTGGGGCCAGGGAGGCGGCTGACACTTCAGACTATAGGTAACCTGGCGTTGGACTAGCATCTAACCCAGGGAGAGTAGCAATACTCATGCTACGGAAACCGGGATAAGCTCCGGCAGTGTGGACCAGTTTGACGCCGAACGGCTTTACCCTAACTATATCTGCTCTGCAATATATGGCGTTGTTTTTATCAATTGCCTGAGTGGCCGTGTTTGAAGTAGTCGCACTGTAATTTGGTCTCTAGAGCGGTTTTCAACTGAGTGTCGAAAGTGATCCAGAATTGCTTTGGTTTTGCTTTACTACGCTCTCTGATTGGTTTAGAAATCTCGCGCCACCTACTCAACCAATCAGATGCAAAACCAAAACCAATCGCGACTTGGTCACACGCGTTTTCCCGCGCTTGGCGTCCGTTATTTGTATTCGCTTTGCGTTCTCATTGGCTCATTGCGCTGTTTTCGTTTGTTGTGATTCAGTGGTCATTGTAATTGCTTTGTTTTTGGTTTCACGACACTCAATTGAAAACCGCTCGATAACCAACTTGCATTCTGTCCCAACATTAACGACGTAATTGTACG